TTGCTGTTGAGTTGACATCGACTTATGGTGACCTCATGTGTGTCAGAGTAGAACTGATTTCAGTGGCTGATTTTTCAGAAATAATCACCAGGCCTTCTTTTGAGGCGCTTCTGGGTGGACTTGAACCTCAAATCTTTTGATAAGCAACCAAGTGCATTAACTGTTTGCACCACCCAGGAACTCCAAAAAACCAATTGCTGTAGAGTCAACTCCAACCTCGGATTATCCATCTTTTGTTTTCTTTGCCAGCAGCCCCTCCACTTCTTCAGGAGATTACTTCCCTTACCTCCCACCCCCTGCCATGTCCCTATAAGACTTGCTCCCAACTGACTCTGAAAGGAGAGGCAAGGCCCTCTAGTGGCTGAAGCCACAAGGGGAGGAGCCCAGGCTCTGTGGGCTCCCCATACGCCCCACAGTGTGGGGGATAGTGACTGCAGTGTATCCAGACAAAACATAATAACAATTCCTTACTGCTGCTCGTGCACCAGGCACAGTTAATGCTTTAGCAGCACCAGGCACAGTTAATGCTTTACATGCATCAATACATTTCATCCTCAAAACTACTAATTAGGGAGGTACTAATGTAATTATCAGTTTATAGATAAGGAAATCACACCCCACACACTCGCACTTCCACAACTCCTCCACACTCACACACACACACACACACACACACACACACACACACACTCTGCGGGAAAGAAGCTCTCCCAAGTAGCAGAATTAATCTCAACCTGTGCAAGACCATGAACTTTGCCTCTTCCTTATACACCCCCTTAGATGTTTAGAGAGGATCTAATAGGTGCTCAGAATTTGGCTTGGTGTTTGCTATTCCTGCTCCATGTCAAGCACACTCTTGCCTCAAGGGCCTTTGCACTTGCTGCTCCTTGCGCCTAGAAAGCTCTCCTCCCCCACCCCCCCAGATATCTGCAGGGCTCTCTCCCTCATTTCCTTCAGGTCTCTGCTCAAATGTCACTTTATCAGTGAGGCCTCTTTTAACCACCCTAAATAAAGTGTCCCCCTCGCCAGCACCTTCCACCCCACTGCATTATTGCCCTTGGCACTGATTACCATGGGACAGGTTAATATCTGTGTTTACCTGTTCATTGTCTGTCTTCCCCAGCAGGTGGTAAGCTCTGAGAGAACAGGCTTTTTTCTGTCTTGTTCTCAGCACACTGATTAGTGCCTGCCACATAGTCAGCCCTCAACCACTTTTTGAAAGGGGCTACAATGGTGACAAGTCAGGTCCCTGCCCTCAGGGGGCTCAAATTCTAGTTGGGACAACTAATACTTACCAAGGAAATAAACACACAGACACCCATCATACACTCACACTCCCCACATTCACACACCCTCCCCTACACACACTCATACACACATACTCTAACACCCTCCCACATTCGCACACACACTCACAACCCGCAGGCCCCACACACTCTCTCTCTCCACACACACACACACATACACACACACACACACACACACTCATGCACATACAATTTTTTCAGCTAAAAGTGTTATGAAGAAAACTCAAGCTGCATATGGGAAGTGAGCGCGATAGAGGGGTCATAGTGGATGGAGTGACTGAGCGATGGCTCTCAAATGCGATAGTTAGGCAGAGACTTGAATGAATTAGCGAGTTTGGTGTGGTCAAGGTTCAGGAAGGTGCTGGAGTGGAGTCAGGATAACGTGGACGATGAGGTCAGAGAGGGGAGCAGGGACCAGGGCCTGCAGGGTGAAACGTTTGCAGGGCAGAGCACGAGACCACCTCTAGTCACTGTGGAGGCCCAGTTCTGTTCTTCCCTGCTGTATGAGCTTCTTGTGGCTGTTGTAACCAATCACCACAAAGTGGGTGTTTTAAAACAAAATAAATTTATTCTCATAGTTCTGGAGGCCAGAAATCCAAAATTAGCTTCACTGGGCTGAAATTAAGGTGTTGGCAGTGCCTTGCTTCCCCCAAAGGTTCTAGCAGAGAATCCGTTTCTTGCCTCTTCCCAGCTTCTGGTGGCTGCCGCCATTTGTTGACTTATGGCTACATCACTCCAATCTCTGTCTCTGTGGTCACATTGCCACATGTCAAATCTCCCTCTGCGTCTCTCTTATAAAGACACTTGTGACTACATTTAGAGGACACCGGAGTAGTCCAGGATATTTCCCCATCTCAAAACCCTTAGCTTAATCACATCTGCAAAGTCCTTTCTTGCCATATAAGGTAACATTCACAGGTTCCAGGGTGCAGGACATGGACAACTTTAGGGAGCCTCCCAAACTTGCCCTTTCTGATGTCTAGTAATTCAGTGATTTCTTCAGTACTTAGACTAAATTAATATCCCCTTCGGCTTAGGTTTTTTCAAGTTGGTTTTCTGTTGGTTATAACAAAAGACATCCAGATGAATCCCACACATTAGGTGCTAATAAATATTCGCATGAAAAAAGAGAAGGGCAGTGGCATTCACTAGGTGTTCACAGTGCACATAGCACATAGTAGGCCCTCAGTAAATGTTGAATTGTACTGGTTCTTATGCAATACAGAAACGTCTGCATTATTATCCTCGATGTTCTGGGAGGTGAAATGACTTAGGTAAAGGCTCACAGAGAGGGAGTACGGGATTAAAGATTAGAAGACAGGAGTCTGACTCCAGGGCCTGGACACATTCCCCTACTCCAGGGCTTCTCAGTCTCGGCACTACTGACACTTTACCATCACCAGTTGCCATAGGGTTTTCAATGGCTGTTTTTCAGAAGTAGATCACCAGGCCTTTCTTCCGAGGCACCTCTGGGTGGACTCGAACCTCCAATCTTTCGATTAGCAGCTGAGCACATTACAGCCGAGCAGCACCCAGGGACTCCACTGACACTGGATCAGATAATTCTTTGCTGTGGGCGGCTGTCCTGTGTATGGTAGGATGTTTAGCAGCGTCCCTGACCTCTACCCTCTAGATGGCAGTAGCACCCCCCAAGTTGCCATGTCCAAAAATGTCCTCAGATGTAGCCAAGTGTCCTGTGGGGGTAAAATTGACTCAAACCTCCAACTTTTTAGTTAGTAGCTGGGTTAGCAGCTGAGCAAGTTAACTATTTGTAGGGACTCCCTTCTGGCTTAAGCTGCTGTTATTTAAGGTCTTTGTTATAGTTGCCAGGCCTGCTTTCTAACTATTACAGCCTCCGCAGCCAGACACAGTGAGGAGGAGAGAAGGCAGGTGGGGGAAGAAGGATGTCAGTGAAGGGTGTCAGGTGGTCTGCTGTTGGAGCTCAGAGATGCTAGGGAAAATCTTTTGGGAAGAGGACTCTGAGGTGGGTTTGAAGGACAGGAAAGATTTGGAGAGATGAAGAAAAGGAAGGCCGCTCCTGAAAGGGCTGCAGCGGGAGCCAGGGCATCGAGGAGAGAACTGAGTGAGGCCTTGAAGGACAATGAGGACGTGAACAGGCTGAGAGGAGAGAGGAAGGCACATTAGAGGGGAGCCCAGTGCAAAGTGGGGAATTTCACCAGAACCGAAAACAGGCACAGGGATCCAGGAGTTTATCATGAGACCTTGTGGGCAACTGGGGACTAGAATTGGAGGTAGAGAAATGACTGGGGAGCCCTGGCCCCTCTCCAACTCAGAGAACCCCTTCCTGGGCTGACCTTTCACCCCTGACCCTTGCCCCATGCTGAGATGTACACAACTCTGCTGAGTCTGGGATCTTGAAGCCTTCTTGCCACGGTCTCCTCCGGCGGACAGCCAAGACCAGCAGGAATGCAGCCAAGATCACTGCCTTCAGCCCCAGGACTACAAGTAAGAGTGTGGACAGGAGGCCTGGGGGACACAGGGGAGAGCTCAAATGGGACCCTGGTGAATGACCCACAGCCCATACCTCAGCATCCCCTGTTGGTATCCCATAGGTAGGGTCTGGCCCAGTTGCTGTATAACTTCTAGGACCACATCCTCTCTAGACTGGGGAAGTAGATCAAAGACCTTTCCCCCCGCCCCAACCTGCCCTGGGCCAGAAGAGGCCTTGACCAGTATCGCACCTGTACCCGCAATCGTCTTGACAGCATCTCTGACTGTTGATAATAATAAAAACAGCTTTGATTTATTGGCTGCTCAGCGCCTCTCTCTCAGGCCCTGAGCTAATCACTTGTCAATTATGTAATTTAATCCTCATACCAACCCTACAAAGTAGAATAATGGCCCCATTTTTATAGATGAGGAGATAGGTCTAGAATGGGAAGTGATTTGCTCAGGGCCATATATGTCAAAGAAGGAATGGGACTCAGGCAGTCTGGCTCCCAAGAGTGATGGGAACAGGTCTGAGCATCAGAGAAACTCACCTGGCTGCATCTATCTCTGAGGGTTAATACTGTTGTACCATGCACTGTTCTAGGCACTTGTCATGAGTGATCTCACTGGACCCTTACACAATGCCACGAGGGCAGCTTTCTGATTCTAATGCCTCTTAGGTCATATAGTACGACATCAGAGACTCAAGGATTGAGGCAACCAATCCACCATCACACAGCTAGAAAGGCTTCAGTCCAGGCCTGGCTGCCAAGCCACGTTCTTCAGTGTTGTTATTCACGTCCTAGTATATCCCTACACTCTGAATGGTGGGGAGCTTACTACCCCTAAAGCAAGACTGCCCTCTGAACAACTGGACAACTCTTCCTGTTAGAAAATTCTTTCTTTGGTTGAGCTTTAAGATGGTTCTCTGGGTCCCCAGTGCTGTGGTTGAGATGGAGTTCTGGGAACTTTTTTGGTAGCATATGGTCACTGGAAGTCTGGGACTGCTCCCTTCCCAAGCTCAACCCATCTCTGACCCACCTTGACTGTGAGGAGCTGGAAAATTCCGCTGGAGGTAGGTATGCTCACCTGTTGAAGATGTCTTGTCTAAAGAACCATTAGTGAATTTTGCCTCTTGGAGAGAGGTGGGTTTTGCTGCAACGGGAGAGAGACATTCTCATATTTCCCCTCTTCTTTTCCCTCCTGCCACATCCTGATCCTCTATCCTAAGATCTGGGGCACCTAGATGGGTCTGCCCATTTCTACCTGGGTAAGGGCCAGAAGACAAACTTTGTGACTTTGAAGGACTACTTGGACCTTCTACTTGAACATCTCTAGGATAGGGACAATATTTCATTCATTTTGTTGTCCCCAGCACTTAGCACAGTGCTGGACACTAACAGACACTCAATAGATGTTTGTTGAATCATTGGTGATCTACACAAAGTGCAGTGGGAGCCTAGAATCTGGAGAGAGTAACTTTGCCTAGGAGGAGGAGGTTTCACAGAGAGGAACCATTTATCCTGGGCCTTGAAGAATGAGTAGGAGTTTTCCAGAGAAAAGGAAAAGGCATTCCAGGCAAAGGGAACAGCTTATGCAAAGGCATTGAGGCTGAGAAGAATTGGTCTGTTTGGGACATGGTGAAAATTTCCTTGTGAGTCCCCCCTCTTTACATGTCCCAGGACACTGTGTTTCTTGTCTCACCTTTCACTCTCAACCTGGTGCCCTGTCCAGACAGGTACTGTCTATTGAGTCTCCTCTGAAACTTTACACAGTAGTAGGTGCCTGCATCCTCAATGGAAATGCCTTCCAGGAGAATGCTGAAGTCATTGTTAGAGGCCCGGACTGCTGTCACGTTGGGGTGAGAGATACCTTCAAAGTTGTAAATGGCCTCCCGGCTAACACCAGTCCCCCGGAACCACCTGATGGGTCCTAGAGGACCATTTCCAATCACTGTGCAGTTCAGGAAGACAGTGTCTCCAGTAGTCACAGACACCAACTCCTGAGGCTGGATGATCCAGAGGTCTGGCTCCGGGTCTCCAGCTCCTGAAGCCAAAGAGATGGTCCTTGTTGGATTTCCTTGCTTCCTCCATTATCCACTCATTTTCCTCCTCATAGCCTCTCTCCCTTCCTCTTCCCCTGATTTCTTCATTCAGCCACTCCTTCCTGCATTCTCTCATTACTCACTCACAAGCTGACTTGCTCAATAAAGAATTTCTGAGTAGCTACTATATGCCAAAGATGTTGTTAGTTGCCATCCAGTTGATTCTGACTCATGATGACCCCGTGTGTGCAGAATAGAACTGCTCCATAGGGCTTTCAAGGCTGTGACCTTTCAGAAGCAGATTGCCAAGCCTGTCTTCTGAGGCGCCTCTGGGGTCAGTTCGAACCACCAACCAGCACTTAACCATTTGTGCCACCCAGGGGCTCCTATATGCTAATGTTAGACCTGGGAAAATGAAGCTCAGTAAGACAGATGAATGTCCTGCCCTGACGAAGTTCTTAGTTTGATGGTGATGACCATCAAGAAAATCTTCCGGAGGGCAGAAATCCAGAGGATTATACGACCCCAGAGGAGGCAGTATCAGAACTTGGAAGGAGCCAGGAAAGTCTCCCAGAAATGTTTGTGTCAAGCTAAGATGAACTCCTCACACCCAGATACTCTCCACCTCAACAGTTTGCAGGGTGATTTCACAAGCATCCATTCTTTTATTCAATTACTTCAATTAGCTTTGAAGTAGGAATGATGTTTCATATTTTCCAAATTCAGCTCTTGAAATGTGTAGCTGAAGTGACTGATTTAAGGGCTCACTGTTACAGCCATTGAAAACCCTACCGAACAGTTCTACTCTGAAACAATGAGATCACCATGGGTCAGAATTGACTCAATGGCAACTGGTTGTTTTTTTTTTTTTGGTATTGGATAAAAGGCCCAGAATTTTATTATCTAGGCCACTATGGGTGGAATTCAAAACACCATAACTTGAGGAGTGCAGTTGATTGGCTTATCAGTCCTATTCTATACTCCCCTCTGATAGTACATTACATGCACACCCTTGCCATGGACTTATTCTGGGCAGAGGGCATATCTTTGCCTCTTGACTTTGAGCTTAGCCATGTGACTTGATCTAGCCAATGGGATGTTAGCAGATATAAAATGAATTGTTGTTAGGTGCCATCAAGTAGATTCTGACTCACAGGGACCCCATGTGTTACAGAGTAGAACTGCTCCATAGGGTTTTCATGGCTGTAATCTTGACAGAAGCAGATCACCAGGCCTTTACTTCCACAGTACCGCTGAGTGGGTTTGAATCACCAACCTTTAGGTTAGCAGCCAATTGCAACCATTTGAGCCACCTAGGGACTGCAACTGAAATACGCTTGTGCGGTTGGGCTTGCCCTCTTGTGTTTCTCCCATCTCCATAAGAAAAACATATGCAGGGTAGCTGCTTCCTTTCTAGCCTTGGCAGTGGAATGAGACATGTGGAACAGAGATGCCTCAGCCAACCCATAAATGTGTAAGTGAGATAGAAATACTTATTGTTGTGCACCATTGAGATTTTGTGTTACGTAGCATTATTGGGGCTAAGAGAGACTGGTCCAGGGAGATATATCAGAGCAGAATGCTATGGCTTCAGGCCTGATACTCACCCTTCACAAGCACTGAGGTGCCCTCATCAAGTGTCTTTTCCAAGTGCTGACTCAAGCCATCAAATCTCACACAGTGATAGGTTCCAGCATCCTCCTTGGTGACATGGGGAATATGGATGGAATAATCCCAATTAAGTGACTTTAGTGTCCACTGGGCCAAGGGCATCACCCCAGGGAAGAAGCCATGTTTGAAGTTATAAATTTCCTGCTGGTCCTGATTTCTCACCCTGATCCATTTTATCATGTCATCAATCCAGGAGCCGACCACTGTACACCTCAGTAGGAGCGTCTCACCTTCTGCCACGAGCATGGGGCCCTCAGGCTGTAGCACCTGCCACTCATTGTCATTCCTCTGCTCAGAGGCTCCTGAAACAGAAGTAGAAAGGCCTTGCATTGGGCAGGAAGGACTTGGAGCCCTAAGAGGCAAGCTTAAAACAATAGAGTCATTATCTAGCAAAGAACAATTGCTTAGGACACTAGAGGGGAGTTGTTGGATAAAGAAAGGAAAGAGGAGATGATGTGGCTGGTCTGAGAGTGAGAACAAACTAAACTAGAATTCTGTACTCAGTGAAAATGTCTTTCCAAGGTGAAAGCAAAAAAAGATTCTTAAGACACACACATACTTAAACTATTCTATAATAAATGTTAAAGGAAGTCCTGCAGACAGAAAGAGAGTGACACCAGATGGAAATATAGGCTTACACAGAAAAATGAACAGTGCCCTAAATGATACCTACATGAGTAAACATATAATCTTTTTTGACAAGTGCATTTTGATGATTGTTGTTGTGTGCCTTCGAGTCCATTCTGACTCATTACGACCCTATAGGACATAGTAGAACTGCCCCATAGAGTTTCCAGCTGGTGGATTCAAACTGCCAATCTTTTGGTTAGCAGCCTTAGCTCTTAATCACTAAAAATATCTATTTAATGCAAAATAAGTCAGTAATGAAGGAAATGAGGAACAAAAAAGGCATAAAACATATAGGAAACAAATAAAATATTTAAGAATAAATTTAATGAAAGACTTGTACATTGGAAACTACAAAACATTGTTGAAATAAATTAAAGAACACCTAAATAAATGAGAAGACATTCCATATTCATAGATTAGAGACTGTCTTAATCACCTAGTGCTGCTGTAACACAAATATCACAAGTAGGTGGCTTTAAAGAACAGAAATTTATTTTTTTAACAATTAGTTCTGGAGGCTAAAAGTCCAATTACGGCCACACCAATTCTTTCCTTGTCAGTAACCCTGAGCATTCCTTGGTTCCTTGGCTTTCCTTAGCTTGTAGATAATCCTCACATGATGTGTGTCTTCGCCTATATGTCTGTTTCTGTGTCTATTCTGGTCTTCTTATAACTCAGAAGTGATTAGGTTTAGGATCCACCCTACACTGGTATGGCCCCATAAACATAACAAAACAGGATCACATCCCGGGTACAAGGGCCAGGAATTCAACACATATTTTGGGGGGACACAATTCATTTCATGACAGAGACTTAATATTGTTAAGATGGCACTACACTCTAAATTAATCTACAGATTCAAGGAAATTCTTATCAAAATTCCAACATCTTTTTCCCGCTGAAATTGAAAAGATCATCCTAATATTCATAAAGAAATGCAAGGGACTCAGAGTAGCCAAAGCAATCTTGAAAAGAAGAACAAATTTAGAGGACTCATAGTTCCCAATTTCAAAACTTACTACAAAGCTACCATAATAAAGATAGTGTGGTACTGGCATAAGGATAGACATATAGATTAATAAATAGAATTGAGAGTCCGGAAACAAATACATACGTCTAAGGTCAATTGATTTTCAAAAAGAGTGGCAAGACTATTCAGTGGGAAAAGAATAGAAGGTTTTTCAACAAATGGTGTTGGGACAACTAGATACCCAACTGCAAAATAATAAATTTGGATCTCTATCTCATACCATATACAAAAACTTAACTGAAAATGGATCAAAGACCTAAATGTAAGAGCTAAAACTATAAAACTATTAGAAGAAAATAGAGTAAATATTCATGACATTGGACTTGACAAAGTTTTCTTAATTATAACCAAAAAGCTCAAGCAATTAAAGAAAAAATAGATAGATTGGAATTCCTCAAAATAAGAAAACTTTTGTGCACCAAAGGATATTATCAAGAACGTGAAAAGAGAACCTACAGAATGGGAGAAATGTTTGCAAATCATATATCTGATAAGAGTCTAGTATCTAGAATATATAAAGAACTCTTACAATTCAAGAACAAAAAGACAACTCAATTAAAAAATGGGCAAAGGGCTTGAATTTCTCCAAAGCAGATACACAAATGGCCAATAAGTACATGAAATGATGTTCAAGATCATTGGTCATTAAGGAAATGCAAATCAAAACCTCAATGAGATACCACTTGACATCCATTAATAGCTTTAATAAAAGCAAAAACAAAACCCAGAAAATAAAAAGTGTTGGCAAAGATATGGGAAAATGGGAACACTCGTTAGTTGCTGGTGGAAACTTAATATGATGTAACCACTATGGAAAACAGTTTGGCAGTTCCACAAAAGGTTAAATACAGAATTACCATATTTCTAATAGTCAAAAGGTGGAAATAACTCAAATTTCCATCAGGGTAATGTTGTAAAATGTGGTATATCCATACAATGAAATAATATTCTGCCATAAAAAGGAACAGAGTGCTGATATATACTACAACTTGGCTAAACCTTGAAAACATTATGCTAAATGAAAGAAGCCAGACACAAAAGGTCACGTATTTTATGATTCTCTTTATACAAAATATTCAGAATAGGCAAACTTATAGAGACAGAAAGCATCTTAGTGGTTATCAGAGGATAGGAGGTGGTAGAAAGGGGAGTGATTACTTAATGGGTACAGGTGTTCTTCTAGGAAGATGAACAAGTTTTGAAACTAGAGAAAGGTGGCGGTTTACAGCATTATGAATAGCTGAAAACCACTGAATCATACATTTTAAAATGATTAATTGTATGTTGTGTCAATTTCACCTCAACAAAACAAACAAATCAATCAATAGAATTAACCATGCTACAACAACAACAAAAATAGTCTCAATAGATGTCCAAAAAGCATTTGACAAAATCCAACATCCCATTCCTAATAAAATCTCTCAGTTAACTAGAAATGGAAGGGAACCCTCTTAATATTATAAAAAAAAATCTATAAAAATCTCAGCTAACATCTTACTTATATATTAATGGTAAAAGACTGAATGATCAGGAACTAGATAAGTGTTCTTACCACTTCTATTCAACATTGTACTGGAGGTTCTAACCAGTACAATAAAGTAATAAAAGGAATTAAAGGCATCTAGATTGGAAAGGAAGAAGTAAAACTGCCTTTATTTGCAGATGACATAGTCATTTATGTAGAAAATACACTGGAATCAATTTTAAAAAGTGCTATAACTAATAAATGAGTTGAGCAAGGTTGCAGGATACAAGATTCACTATACAAAAATTATTTGTATTCCTATATACTAGCAACAAACAATTGGAAATTGAAATTAAATTGCCATTAATAGTATCATCAGAAATAGAAAATACTTAAGGATGAATTTGGCAAAAAATGTGAAGAACTGAGAACATCTAAAACATAGCTGAGAGAAATTTTAAAAAGAAATTTAGAATAAATGGAGAGATATACACTGTTCATGTGCTAAAAGATTCAATATTGATAAGATGTCAATATCCCCAAATTGAAATATCGATCAAGTACAATCTCTATTCAAATTCCGGAAGGCTTTGTTGTAACAAATGACAATCTTATTAAAATTTCTGCAGTAGCCAAACCTAGAATAACCAAAGCAATTTGAAAAAGAACAGATTTGGAGAACACTACCTGGTTTCAAGATTTATTGTAAAGCCACAGTAATCAAGACGGTGTGGTATTGGCACAAAGATAGACAAACGTATCAGTAGAACAGACTCAAAAGTTTGTTCCACTGATATATTGCCTGGGTGGCACAAATGGTTTGCATTCGACTAACCTAAATGTTGGTGGTTCGAAGCCATCTAGCGGCACTGTGGAAGAAAGGCCTGATAATCTATTTATGTAAAGGTTACAGCCAAGGAAACCCTAGGGAGCACTTCTATTCTGTAACACATGGGATCATCGTGAGTCAGAATTGACTCAAAGACAAGGGATTTGGCTTTTCTGATACAAATGTGGACAACTAATTTTCAAGAAAAGTGCAAAGGTAATTCAGTGGAGAAAGAAGTTTTTTCAACAATGGTGCTGGGACAATTAGAAATCCATATGCAAATAAATGAACTTTGATTCATACCTTAAACAAAAATTTAAAAATTAACTCAAAACGGATCATAGACCTAAATGTAAAACTATAGAACTTCTAGATGAAAATGTAGGAAAAAAATCTTTATAACTTTTGGTTAGGCAAAGATTCCTTACATTTGTTGTTAGGTCCTGTCGAGTCAGTTCTGACTCATAGTGACCCTATGTGTAATACTGCCTGGTCCTGCACCGTCCTTACAATTGTTATGCTTGAGCCCATTGTTGCAGCCACTGTGTCATTCCATCTTGTTGAGGGTCTTCCTCTTTTTTGCTGACCTTCTACTTCACCAAGCATGATGTCCTTCTCCAGGGACTGCTCCCTCCTGATATCATGTCCAAAGTACTTGAGACGAAGTCTCGCCATCCTTGCTTCAAAGAGCATTCTGGCTGTACTTCTTCCAAGACAGATTTGTTCGTTGTTCTGCGGTCCATGGTATATTCAATATTCTTCACCAATACCATAATTCAAAGACATCAATTCTTCCTTCTTCCTTATTCATTGTCCAGCTTTTACATGCATAGTAAGCGATTGAAAACACCACAGCTTTGGTCAGGTGCGCTTTAGTCCTTAGAGTGACATCTTTGCTTTTTAACACTTTAAAGAGATCTTTCACAGCAGATTGCCCAATGCAATGCATCTTTTGAGTTCTTGACACTGCTTCCATGGGTGTTGATTGTGGATCAAAGTAAAATGAAATCCTTGACAACCTCTATCTTTTCTCCATTTATCATGATGTTACTTATTGGTCCAGTTGTGAGGATTTTTGTTTTCTTTATGTTGAGGTGTAATCCATAATGAAGGCTGTGGTCTTTGAGCTTCATCAGTAAGTGCTTCAAGTCCTCTTCACTTTCAGCAAGCAAGATTGTGTCATCTGCATAACACAGGTTGTTAATGAGTCTTCATCCAATCCTGATGCCCTGTTCTTCTTCCTATAGTCTATTTTCTCAGATTATTTGCTCATCATACAGATTGAATAAGTATGATGAAAGGATACAACCCTGACGCAAACCTTTCCTGATTTTAAACCACGCAGCAT